CACACCGCCGCCGCTACAGGTGCCGCCGCCGCCGCCGCCACCGCAGTAGCTACTGTTACCGCGTCCCCGGTTCCTGGGTTTGGCTTCCGCATCGACATCCCGCCCGCCACGGCGGCGGCAGCTGGCGGCGGCGGAACGCAGTCCGCCGCGTTGATGAGAACATTTGGAGGCGTAATGTACGGCACGTACGGCGCCATTGCAGGGCCGTCCAATAACGCCATCGGCGAGGCAGCGAGTGCGTACGACGACGGCGCCGTCACGAACCGCTCCAGTAACATCTCTCGTTCCGACGCAAGCGTGTGGAATAGTACGAGCGCTTGGACGACAAGTACGGGCCGTACGACGGACACGATGATGAGTAATCGGCGGGTGCTAGCCAGCAATGGCGGCGTCGGGGGTGGCAGCAGCTGCTTGATGCTACCGCCGGGGATAGCCGTCGGCGGCGGCGGCTACGGCCTGGGTGCCGTCGGCGGCGGCGGCGGCGACACTAGCGGCTTGTTAGCATATAACGCGGCTTACAGTAGCATCAGCGGCTTAGTGATGACTGCAGATGCAGGCGCGCCGGGGTCTAACACGCAGCTGCTGGTGCAGATGGCGGCGCCGGGGACGTTTTGCTTCGGCAACGGCGGCGGCGCCGCCAACGGTCAGAACAGCAGCCAGTTGTTCCCTAGTTCCCGTCAGTTGGGGATGTTCCCAGCGCCCAACGGCGGCGGCGGAGCTGGCGGCGGCGGCGAGAGCTTTGCATATACGGCTGGACAGACGACTGCGGCTATGTGTGCTCAGGTACGGTACGGTACAGATAACAGGCTCCAAGCCGCTGCTAGAGACCTCAGCCGTCGTCCTGCTGGGGTATTTGTGCTGTTGATTGACGGGAAGTGTCTGTGCGTACTTACCTACCTACATACGTACGTGCCGTACCAGTGCGCCGATTGCTATCTGAGTTCGGCACTACGGCACTACGTGGCTCCTGACGGAGGGCGCCATCCCCAGAGCGCGTCGTCTAGTCCCCAGATCGATCCCACATGATATCCATACAAGAGCAAATGAACCGGACTTGCATTTAACTTTATCCGTAGGTCAGGGGCCCACAATGTACGGTCACCTAGTCCCCTAGGCGCCCTAGGCTGACGTAGTGCGATTTCACACTCTCCATCCCGCCGGGAAGTGTCTGGCACCCAGCCGACATGTACTGCATGTATGTATATCTATGTACGAGCACATGCATATTATGTATATTTATACATATTATATTTATGTCCCGATTTGCCATTTGAAATTGACACCGCAATCCCAAGATCCCCTAGGAAATCCCATCAACAAATTACCATCAGCTGCTGCTGCTGCTGTGCGCCACACTGACCATGTGGTGGTGGCAAAAGCGGTTGTCTTTTTTTTATAAAAGTTGCCCTGATGACCATGATGATGGTGATGATGAAGGTAATACTGTAAACGGGAAAGGGGGCCGCTGGCGAAGTTAACCACCCTGTAACAACATACATACTTCAGTGGCCATGTCGCGATTGTGATGTTTGTGGGAATTTGTGGTATGCTGGATGTCCGGTGGTGCAGGTCCGGATGCAAAATCAGGTACATCTGTACGGCACATCCCCAGGTGACACACACACAGCTTATTACCAACAGCACCATCATCAACACCAGCACCAGTCGAGCGCTTTTGGAAACCCGCGGGGCGCAATGGAACGACCCGTGGGTCACATTCCCCTCGCGCCCGCCTTTCTTCTTCGCGGCTTCCAGGCATCACCATCCTCCTCTTCTTCCCCACCGCAACCCTCAGCAGCAGCAGCAGCAGCAGCAGTAGCCGCGCAGAACGTCAGTGGTGGTGCTACTGCTGCCGCCGCCGCTGTGCTACAGCCGCGGCAGCCGCCGTTGCCGCGGCTGTCCCCGCCGCCGCCACCGCTGGCGCTGCCTTTGCAAGTCGCGTCGGCTTCGGAACCCGGTGAAGGTGGGCGGTACGACAGGCCGGCCGTCGGCGTGTACGACAGCAGTAGCCAGGCGCCGTTGATCCACGAGACCGGCATATATGATAGCGCCTCCGGATGCTTCTTCTTGGCGGGCGGGAGCACCACAAACAATGCCACGAATAATTCGTCTTTGTGACTCGTCTTGCCACACACACCTCCTGTCAACTGTTTTCATTCATATATGAAATGTGAAGTCGACCAGCAGTGCTGTTCAGCATCCGAAAATTTGCAACAACAACAACAACAACATCAACATCAACATCAAAGTATGACAACAATTTTATCACTACCTTGGCGTCGCTAACGAATGTGTGCCGAAGGGCGGAGGCGAACAGCAGTTTCACGAACTGCAGTTTCACTCAATTTTGATGGTGTTGGGGAGGACACCCGAGCAGCAGCCGCCCACCGAGGAGCACAGATATAATATATAAAATATGGGTTTTAGGGTTTCAACCCTAAGTTGAAATGTTATTGAAGGCGGACAGACGCGGCGGACAGTGGACTAATAAACGAAAGGATACCGAGAGGAACCAATAAAAAAGAAGTCTATCTGTTTGTCTGTATATCATCATCCTGTTTAATAACCCGCTTCGTGAAGAACTTGCTTCGGTTTTAGTTTGGGGGGATGAGGAGCAAATCCGTGTGTTTGTGGGACCCATTATGGGTTTTGACACGACGCGTGGCGTTGGTACTGCAACCCGTGCCGTCCACTTTGCGGTATAGCCCACCTAACACACACTCTTTCTGTTGTAGCATATCCGGCATTCATATCCGTTGGCTGGTAATGGTTGTTATATAGGCGAGCGGTAGCGTTGCGATGTCGCGGGTACGTGAGACGTTGGACGGGGTCGCTGGTGTACGATTTTTGTTGCGGTGGGTGCGGTTCTATATGCGGTGCAGTGCCCGATGTCTCTCTACAGGTGCTTTTTTGCATGTGTTGCGTCTGTATGTTGCGTCTGTCCGGGAGAAGAGGTACGGCGTGAGGTGATAAAAGTACGAAAATATAATAAGCATGTAGGGTGTTTCGAATCCGGGGATGCAAACTCCGGGGGCATGTGGTGTATGTCGTATATGACCGTGCGGTTGTTTATCTGTCTGCATGTCTGTGTATGTTTCTTTTGTGTGTGTGTTTGTGTGTGCGAATGCGGGTGCATCCGCGGGTGCGAGGCGTCCCCCCTCCCCCCTTCTTGCACCCCCTTGAGTGAGTTGATTGGCGGAGGTAAGGTAAGGTAGGGTAGGGGTACCGGGAGCTGTTGTTGTTGTTGGTGGTGGTGGTGGAAGTGAGGTGGTGGTGGTGGAAGTGGGGTGGTGGTGGGTGGGGGTATGAGGGCCCGGAAGAATGACATGCACATGTCAGGTGTTGTGGTGAAGGCCGTGGAACGGACATCTACGCCACCCGGGGGGGTTGGGCCAGGGACGTGCACCGCACACTGACAGCTTCCTGGGGGTGATGTGCCGTACTGGGGGGGGGGGTGTCAGGGGAGGCGTACGGTAACCTTCTTGCTAGTAGTGCAGTAGTGCTGCTGAGCTGTCCGGAGCTGGGGGTCAGTGGTGTATGAATGCGGTCGAGTGAAGTTGAATAAACCCGCGGGGAGCCTTCATCAGAGTGCTGCTGTTCGTGATTATCGCCTTCATTCTATCATGTTTATCGCATTGCGGGAATAATTTGCATTTCAGTGGAACGGATAGATCGACAGGCGGATGAAGAGATAAGCGGCGAAGAGATGTTGAAGAGGATATCGCGCGCGTAACTTGAGGAGGCTGTCGTCCTGCCCCCTGTAGCTGCATCTGATGAGGCTGCTGTGGTGCTTTACAGCTGATGTGCTCTGCTTACCTTTTGGCCGGCAGTTGTTGCTGTTCGTACAGCTGTTATTATTTCGTGCAGCGGTTATTATTATTCGTACAGCTGGTGCTGTTGTCGTTGCGGCCGTTGTGTGCTGTTGCTACTGTAACTGCTACTGCTATTGCTACAGCTGACTATCGCTGCTGAGTCGAGTTTTTGTGATGGCGCCGTGAATGGGGGCAAATAAAACGTTATTTAATGGTGCCGTAAATCGGGGGGAGTAGTAGCCTCTTGTTTTTCGTTGCAAATTTGCAAAAGTATTGCGTTTTTGCGACTGTGACGAAACTGGAGAGCCGAGCTTGCGTTGCAGAACGAAAAGGGGGCCATGAACATTCATTTATTAACATCGGTGCTTATCATGTTATTGTCCATGTGCCAGTGCCAATTGGTGCGCGACTTCGACATGGAATGTTCAAAGGAACAGACGTAAGCATGATGGCCAGGCAGGGTACGGCAAGATCAGCAGCGGAATACGACATGGTACGAAGTGGGGGCAGGGCAGTCGAAATGCGAAAGGAAGAAAGGACGGGCCGTGTACGGCATATGGGTTGGAGATGTCGTGGGGGTTTGCAGTACGGGTACGGACAGTGTACTACTGATTAATTCGCTGTTCGAAAACACGGCAGATTTTATCGGTCTGTTGGATGTTTTCAGTTTCAGTTGCGTGTGAAGCTTCGATTTGGGTTTGTACTTCTAATTCCTTTTGCAATAAGGTTTAGAGTGTTGTGCGTGTATCTCTCGTTTGTCTGTCTGTCTGTCTGCCTGTCTGCCTGTTTGGGTTTTCAGGCCAGCAATGCGTCGCCGGTGACATGGGCACATGGTCCCTTAAGGCATCTGGCAGACATATGCGTATGTATGTATGTACGTATCTGTTACATATCGATCCGGGCCTGACGCTGGCCAGGGACACCTAACCGTAAAAACCCCAAGGCCGAAGCACTCTCCCTCTGTACCCGGAGGAGAGGGGCGTGAGCGAGTGTGACCCCCCCGCACAGTCCCCTCCCGCTCGACCGAGGGCGCGCAACCCACCCTGTGGCTCCACCTCGTGTGTGTTTGTGTATGTATGTATGTATGTATGTATGTCTAGGGAGGAAGTAGCTCTGCCCTTGTGAGTTGAGCTGAGCCGGTAGATATGATATGACATGATATGATATGGAAAGGGCCACGTATTCGCATACCACCATCACCACGGGGAGGAGGGGGCCAATGGGGCGAAGCAACGACCCCCACAGCTTTTTATTTGTTGATGGGCCAACCGCCCTAACAAACACAACCAACCAACCAACCGACCGAACCCTAACCAACAGGACAAACATCAAAACTAACAACTATATCCCATACCTGCTGAGGTCCACCCGCCCTGTCTTGGCGACATGCGCTGAGTAGGGTCGTTAGGTAGTTAGGTAGTTAGGTGCTTAACCTCTCAGGAAAGGCCCACCCGCCGAGTCCGCGTAGCTAACCCGTCTCTTCCCCCCCTCCATCCGTACCTTGGCAGTGTGTACCGGAGCGGTACATCGGTTTCATGGAAGGGTCAAGGTCCCCGGTGCGGGTGTATGCGTGTATGTATATGTGTGGTAAAGAGGGGGAAACTCGCGGGGGCACTCGAACAGGCGTTAAAGTGCCGCATGATGGCAATGATGATGATGATGATGCGCCTCGTGTTGCGTGTTTGTGTTGGTATTGGTTGTTGATGGGTTGGTATTAGTGTAGTGAAGTTGTGTTGGTGGTGATGATGACGGTAGCGAACACGAGTCCGCGGGTTGTGAGCGAGCAAGTTAGTGCAGGTAGGGGGAGAGGAAGGGGTGGCGAAAAGTTGGGCACACACCGCTGAGCTGAGCTGAGCTGAGGTGGGGTGGGGTGAGGGAAGGTGGGGTGAGGTGCATGGTTGGCTTTATTGGTACATGTCGAAAAAAGGGGGGGGGGAAAATGGCGGGACGAAAACCTGTTGGTCGCGACGCCGAACTGGCCGGAAATCAATCAGAGCAACCCTTTCGGTTCATTGGTTTGCTGCTGCAGTAAGTGATAATGCACCTGCTGCTTTAATAGTGATGGCAGTGGTGGGTACCCAGTATCATCCTGCTGCTGCTGCTGATGATGATGATGCCGACGGTGAGGGCCTTTTTTGGGTTTACGGTTTCGGAGGTGCAGTTGGCAGTCGGGAGGAGACCCGCAGGGGCTCCGACGTCTCGACTACTACTACGTACGGCTGGGTACGTGTTCGTGCTCATGTCCGTCCACCCGGTTCATCGCCGTTACAGCTGATGTATGGGCGGACTGATGTACGACACATCCAGTACGTACATGCGAACGCCTGGAAACGAGAAAACCGGTAACTGTAACAACGGTAACATCATTGCGAATTCAGGGCCCGCGGATTCAGGGCCGAATGATGACGCGCCGCTGGTGGTGCTGGTGGCGGCGGCGACACGGCTGTTGTAGCGGTTAGGTGATGAAGATGAAGTCGGTAACCTGGTTTGGGACAATCTTAAATGCCGTACCGCAGTGGTGTGTGGTAAACATAATAATACGAATAAAGCTCTGAAAGCCTAGGGGAGGGGGAGGGGGAGGGGGGAGGGCCGGGCAAGTGCGTGCGCCTGTGTTCCTCCCCGCGCTGCGTGTTTTGCTTGCTTCCCGTGTTCTTGCTCGTTTGTCTGTCTGTCTGTCTGTGTGTCTGTTTGTCTGGAGGCGAAGTGAGGTGTGGTGAAGGGGTGTTCAGGATGGCGGTTCCCTTGGCCCCCTGGCTGCCAAGTCTGAGAGGGCTTCTGTGTGTGAGAGCAGATGTGCATTTCGTGTTCCATCTGTCTATCTGTCTGTCTGTCTGTCCGTCTTGTCTATCTGTGCGTATGTGTGTGTGCCGATACCTTCGTGTTCGTCTGTCTGTTTACATGTCTGTTGGGCATAATGCGGAGGGGGAGTGAGGGCGTACCAGCCTGGGCAGGTGAATGGCTGCTGGGCCGCGAAGGACGATGAGGGGCTGGGGAGGAGGAGGAGACGAGGGCTGTCTCTCGGGAGGTGTGTGCTGTTGTTATTATCGGGTTACAGCTCGCAACCCGAGAACAACAACAACAACACAACACCTAGGCGGAGTCCCTTCTCCTCGACCCCCTGCTCCTTTTCCTTCCGCTACTCCGCCGCTTCGAAGTTGCGCCCTTTGTGGTCCGTTCGCACTTGCCTCCTTTTCCCCTTAGGAGGGAGCGGTGGAGCTACAGCCACATGAACGCCATGAGCTATTACCAGTCAGTCAGTCTGTCTGTCAGTCGGTCGCTAACCGGGCGACCTGTTCTTGAATGTCCCGATGATTTTACGTGTGCATGTGCGCAATGTGCCGTATAGTGAGCCGAAGTAAGCTGAATTACTTTGAGTGTAGAAATCATGAATGCAGCCGTAATACCGCCGACATTTAAAATATTTCCAACCGCGCCGCATCGGGGGCTGCAGCGTCTGCGTGGCCCTCCGTCCTCGGTTTCTGTTTTCCAGGAGGTGAGAAGTGGAGAGAGAGGAGAGGTTTTCCCGCCTCGGACTTCCACCAACTCAGGGAAGGATGCAAAGGTGGGACGGGGTAACATGCCCAACCAATAAACATTGGCGCAACCTGTCTTCACGTCCTGTGTCGCTACTTGCGCTGCGTGGTTGATGTTTGCCACTAACGAGTTATTGGCGGTGGGAATCCATTGGGTTGCTCTACGTTTCTACTGCGATGTGTTTCATGGAATGATGATGTGTGCCCACGGAGCACTTTTATATGTGGTACTGCCTTTTGCTTTGCATAGCACTACCTTTTTTGTTGAGTTTGTGTTTTTATCCGTTTTAGTAGCGTGGATGGGTGAAATGGTTTTGTTTTGCCTGCTTGAAAGTATTATTATCGATGCATCACAGGTGGTCAATAAGTACTATGTATTAGGTTTTTGCTTTGCACAATTTGTTTCGGCTTTCGTTTGACTGTCGATATGAGAATTTTGTAATTCATGTGATTCATGATGACGATCATATGCAGCTGAGTAACGATCATTTAACGGATGCATTAGTTTCCAAGGACATTGTTTAAGATTGTCTGGTTCTCCGTTGGAAGTGTGACATGAAACGTTATAAACTATCGGAAGATTTGACGCTCGGAACGCACTTCACAGTCAAGTAATGTTACAGAAACAGCTCACATCAAACTAGCGCTCGCACGGATAACACTCCGCTAATCCACGAATGCCAGCGTCAGCAGGCCAAAATCGCAGTCGCAAAGCTGCATGTTGCATATTTACGCGCTCGGGGTGAACTTGGTGGCGAAGGCGAAGGCGTTGTTGACGGCCGGGTTGGCGAGGTGATCGTTCAGGTTCTCAATCGGGCCCTTGCCGGTCACAATGGCCTGCACGAAGAAGCCGAACATGGAGAACATGGCCAGGCGGCCGTTCTTGATCTCCTTGACCTTGAGCTCGGCGAAGGTGTCCGGGTCGTCAGCCAGGCCCAGGGGGTCGAACGACTCGCCGGGGTACAGCGGGTCCAGGCCCTCGCCAGCCGGGCCGCCGTTCACACGGTAGCCCTCAACCAGGCCCATAAGGATGACCTGCAGCATGAAGGGGACAATCCGCACACAGTAGCAAGGTTATATGGCAGCAAACATGAAAACCAACCCGGCACTGTTACCAGGCCCTTCCCTTACGGAAGAAGCCATTTGTCGAGTTATTGTTGACTTTTGGGGCCGCCTTCAGGATTTCGCAGCTTTGGGAATTCCACGGAAAGGTTGGGATTCTGTTGGCGCACATCACCCCTTCTTGAGAATTAAATCAGGCAAATTGCTATGGGAGCTCACTGGAGCAGTCACCGATGGACGGTTAATTATCTGAGGTGATGGTCTTATTTGTATATTAGTCTCTACTGCAGTGCACGGCCAGCTGGCCCGATGGCTCTACTCTTCGGGAGTCTGGAGCCCACTGTAACAACCACACACAGTAGCGAGACAACACATGGTAAGAGATGTAGTAGTGCCCAGTTCCAAAAACTTATTCAGGTATTCAGGAAAAGACCCGAGAATATCACCGGAAAAGACAATATGTAGTAATTATTATAATGATATGTAAGCAGTGGAAAGCGTTATTCCAAAAGTTATAACCTAGTTCCGAATATTAGAAATTTAACGCACCTGGCATGCCAGGGTGGCAACGATGTTCTGGGCGTGCACCAGCGACGGGTTGCCCAGGTAGTCCAGGCCGCCCTCCTGGAAGATCTGAGCGCCGGCCTTGAACCACACAGCCTCACCGAACTGCACGCCGTTCTTGGACAGCAGCTCGGGGGTCACGCAGCCCAGAGCGCCAAGCATGGCCCAGCGCGCATGGATCAGCTCCAGCTCGCGGTAGCGCTTGAACGTCTCCGGGTCAGCAGACAGGCCGGCAGTGTCCCAGCCGTAGTCGCCGGGGAACTCGCCGGTCAGGTAGGCCGGGGTGGCATTCTCGGAGTAGGGGCCTGCAAACGAAGAAATAGGGATAAAAACCTACATGACGATCACATGTAAATCATATCGAACTCATACGTGTTAACGTCAAGACCCTAGTACATGGCAATCGAACAGTGCGCTGCCCATGCCTGGACCGCAGGAAGGCAATTAAACCGTAGAAATCGAGATATCCACAACAAAAAAAGAATGCTTACCCAGCCACTTGGCGCGGTTGGGGCCGTACCACTCAATACCGCTAGGGGCGGGCTTGGCAACCTGCGTAAAAATCAGGAAGAAAAGTTCATATTTTCCATCATCACGATCATATTATTCAACACAAGAAAGTTGCGGAACACATCATCATTGATACAGAAGGAATAGACCAAGTTAAAAGGAGACGAAATGTTAGACCTAGACGCAGGCTGCAGATATGCCTTTCAGCAGCTAAGGTGAAAATGTGCAAAGAAAGGTGTTCCGAGGACAACGCGCACGAATGAGACGAAGTAGCCGGAAACTTACGGTCTTGCTGGTGCCCTTCTTGCCGGTGGCCTTGGCGGACACCTGCAGTTAGATCGTTCATTGCAGCCTTAAGTTTGCGTGCATCGAACTCCGCCGTAATGGTCAACGAGATGCTATGATCAAGATTTCCTCCAAGAGGCGCAGATACGATAAAAGCAAAGATCTATCGCTTACCTGCAGAGCCTTGCGGGAGAAGGTAACAGCGAAGGCCATTTGACTACTCGAGAAAGTCCCGACATAATGCTCAAAGGGGAAGCGAAGTTCTTATGTGCTTAAGAGCATGATTCTCCGTACATGTACGGTTTTGATCGAGATCTTTGGCTCTCTGGCCCTGGGACTTGAAGCTCTCTTTAGCATAAGAAAGCTAACTGAATAGCTACAAGTGTTGTCAATTAGAAAATTATTGGGTTACCAACATTCTCTCTGATTTTGTGATGGCGGTTGGCATGCATCGTTAAAGTATTCGCAGCAAAGATTTACGTCTTGTAATTCTTTTGGAAAGCAACAGTGCTATTGGCGCGTGGCCAATACTCCAGGTCAGCAGATCCTTTGTCAACACACCCAATTGGGGTGTGTTGGTCATTGAGCCTATGTTGACCGGCGGCCATACAGTCGCAGCTATAATCTGTCATGATGGGTGACCTTTACTCTGTCGCTGAGCACACAGGATGCGTCCATAAGGAATAAGCAGTTCGACGGTTACAGCAGGAAAACTAGTGCCCTTGTTTTCCGAGTGTCCGTTCTTCGCTCTGCCTTTGATATATGAACCAGGCATAACCAGGCATATAAATAGGATAAGGGATTACAGATAGGTAGGATAAGGGATTACGGACCTTACGGATTTGTGCATGATGTTCGGCCTTCGGTATGCGGATGACAATAGCAGGCCTTGAACATGCCTCATAAAGCTTCAAATGGCGCTCTCAAACTTTGTAGTTGAAATCTACCTCGGCGTGTGCTATGCAGACCCCTATGTGAGGTCGGCCTGAAGAGCGTGGAGTAGCTTCTCCGGAGCTGTATCCTTCAAACCGTAGATTACTTATACCTCTCATCTTTGGTTCGCCCAAGTAAAGTGAATTCTCGCTTGGTGAGGCAAGGCATTGCATTCCATGCATCGGGGCATTCCGAAGGCAGTGGTAGGCAATGGCACACCGGTAGCCCCCATCGAAGCCCTAGAAGCACCCGGCCGCCGCTGTCTGTCCCTTTCCCCCTAGGGGCCCCCGGCCTGCTTGCAAGCCGTCATCAAGACGTTACGTTCGGTGCCAGCAGCACCACCGCAATCTTGCGACGATCCCTCAGCCCAATCTTGGGACCAATGCTGTGCGCGCCCCCTGCCCCTCTTCTCTTCACGACCTCCGTGTCCTGTCTATCCGGTCCTGTTGTGGTGCGCCTTTCTCTATCATGCTTAAGCACCTGCCTAAGAGATGCAGCCAAACAAGCCCAAACAGAGCGTAGAGCTTACCCGTCCCAAATCACGGCACTCGGGATGATTCTGATTGAGGGAATAGCTTTCTCTTCCCTTTCTCTTCCTCCGGGAGGTCGAATTACGACACATACGACCAACGTCTGAATGTCATGGATAGCGCGAACACGCATGGCATGGGGGGACGAATTCTAGCAGGGGATCATCTAATTTCCAAGGCATCGAAACGGGCACGTACGCAACGGGCTTGAGCTTTTTCAACCTGTACGGCACCAGTGGTGGGAACAATTACGAATGCGAAGGCCACGGAGCCGCAGCGGAGCTCAGCTGTGGCTGCCGATGTCTGCGTGATGACGTTTAACGTATATTCCTTCGTTCAGCATTCCTGCGGCATTGTTGTGGCGGTTAAAAGACCGAATGGAGCGTCTTCGGTGGGCTTCAGGCGCCAGCTCACGACTGCGCAGGCAGGCCATGCGATATCCAGAGCACAACAAACAAATTTGGCGGATAATCGCTGTTCCTTCGCTAGTTAGTTGGTTCGTTTAACGCGTCCAAATTTTTTTTAAAGCAGCCATCCATTTACATCTGTCCAGACGTATGTTGCTCTTTTATAGTGAATGCCTATTTCGCAAACGTTATGGCACCGTCGATAATCGATTACCGTTCGATTGGCAGCTTCGGACTAGATAGTCGTCGTTCGTTCCCCGTCGCTTAACCAGGCTACTTAGGCCACCAGAAAGGTTTCGTTTGCGACAATCCGCAAGCTGTATCTTGTCTGGGTGCATGCATAGTTGCGTAATATGTAAGTATGAAAGCATTATGGCCGTGTAAGTGATGAACGGCCCTGCAGGAGAGTGTTGGGCTGTCTGGGCCTAATCCAGCATTCTGATCGAGACCACCATAGAACAGCGGAATTAAAGGGACAGAAACTATTGGCATATAAAAGCAGAGAATATTCATGACGTGGCATTTTCCGGACCGGATTTTCGAATCGATTAATTATTTCACATTACGCTAGTAAGGAAACATAACATGTCAAAATCAGCTGCAATGTAACGAACTATTTGAAAAATGTAATCGCAACTCTGCAGGACCGCCGACCAATGTCTGACTGGGTCGTGAACGAGCAAAAACATGCTCGCTGCTGTTGTTCGGGACTTGCATGAAAACATATGTGGTCTGTGGCGTAGAGGAGAGGTCATGAAGTCAATCACTAGCGCCATGTAAGGCGCGCAGCATATGTACGACGGTACACATGAAAGAGGGGCCCTTTGCAGGAGTTCCAATTGGAGACGGAGGAGACGGCTTCTCCTCCGGCCAGCTTCTCCACCATATCACCCCCGGCAGGAACGACCGCTACATCGTAGGGCGGTCTCGGATTCCTCCGGGGACTGCGCCACCTCCGCCTTCAAGAGCCCCCATGGGGGGAAAAGCCCCTGTCAGCCCCGGGCTCACGGGGCCGGCCCCTCCCCTCCACTTGCCAGTTTTGTCGCTGGGGTTTAGTTGGGTTAGTTGGGGGTTACTGAAGTAGCAGGAGGCTTAGGCGCGCTGGCGGGGGGAACCGATCCTGTCCGGTTCTGTCCGATCCTGTTATGGGTGCATTGGGCATTTAACCCCCCTCCTCCTCCCTGCCACGCCTCCTGGGTCCTAAAAGGGCTTATAGAGTTTGCAGTCTTGAGTTTGGCAGTCCGGTCAGTTCCGTCCGCGGAAGAATTCACTGAGGGCCCTATGCCCTTGGGGGCCCTATGCCCTTGGTCGTTTATCCTTTGATGGCCGTGAGCTGTCCGCCACAGGTAAGCGGAGTAAGCAGAGGTTGCTTGGATGATGACGGGCATTGGTAGCGGCCAGGTAGGCGCGAACAGCGGCGGTACGCACTTAGTCAAGATTCCTCCTATGATAGGTCATATCTAATCGTTCTAATTATCTAATCATTCTGTGGGGTACCAGCGGGGTAGCTGGGGGGTAGCTGGGGGGAACCTTGTTGTAGCCTTCGGGAGATGGTCGCGATCTCCCCTGCCTTTCGTAGGAGAGATGCTGCTGCTGCTGCTGCTGCTGGGCAGATAGGGGATTTTGTACTTGTGGCAGTATTAAGGAAAACAACTGCCTGAGCAGGTAGAGAAGTGAAATCTGGTTGTCGGGGGCCGTCGCCGTACTTGACATTTCTTCGGGTCGTCCGGGGCTTACTGGAAAAGGTGCCGTACTTTTATGCCGTACGTCGTCGCCAAAAACGTTGTAGATGGAGATGGCGAAGGGCGTGCCGTTTACTTGTTAAAATGATTTTTCTAAAAAATCTCTCCGCTTTCCGACCAAGGTAAAGTTTCTGACCAAGTAACTCACCAAATCTTCAAGGCGTTATAAAGGTCAGTTAGACGGCAGTTTCTAACGCCGTACGCATGTTGCGTGAGATAGCACCTTTGATGATTCGACCCTTCCAGGCTCCGTTGCTGCTGTCGCGAAAAGACTGTTAGCCATCAATCCTGGGATGAACTTTCAGCCGTGGAAGGGGGGAATGCTGGATGGCGAATGATAGGGGTTAGCTTTGGAAGCCGCTTAAACGGGCATGCACTACCGAGAATTAATTTGTCAATACATGCAGAAAGCATCGTGCGCGATGAAGCTGCTGGGCGAGACGGCCAGCCGGCAGACCTTCACAGCATGCGGGGGCGTTGCTAGGTCAGACAACGCCCAGCCATTTGTTGGTTTTCATGCCGTTATTATGCGCCATTACGCACAATTATGTGCGTTGTAGAAGAAGTTCGGTAAATGCCCAAGCTGCGCTGTTGTGGGGCCAAGGTCACGGGCTGTTCCAGTCCATGCCTGGTTCCGGAGCAGCTCAGGTTAGAAACTTCTCCTTCGTTACACTGCAACAGATGACAATTCAGCAAATAGGCGGCAGGCGGTCCATTCGTGATTGGTTCCCACTTGTACACTTGTGCACGTACACCTGAAACTGGCGGTATGGACATAGGGTAATGCGCCGCTCTATTGCAAAAAGCAATATTCCACATTCTTTAATAATACTGTATCATTATCTCCAAGCGACTGGTGCACTTTTATGTAAGTGAAGCTCTGTAGTAGAAGCGTGGTACAGCCTATACTGACGCTTACAGATAGTTATCGTAAGACTACATTGTTATGGACTAGCTTGGATGAACGTGCTCCTGGTAACTAGTGATGGCTAGTTTGTGTGGAGTCAACGTCCATGTCGCGACACGTGGAAACTCCGCGCGGCATCGCCGTTATGTTGCTACGATGGCTTTGCTGGACTTTATGGCTGCAAGTCTTGCTGCATGAACAAGTCAGGGGAGCGCGGAACGAGCCCTCAAAGCTCCAAATTTCAGCACAGCCATCTCAGCTACGTGGCGAGAAAAGCGATACTTTGGGGCTGGACGATTCCAGCTACGCCGCCGACAACGATTACCCTCTGACAACCAAAGAGCTGTCAAAGCGGCAAAACCGTGGATCAACCACCGGGCCAACGTCCGATGTTGTCGTCAAACCTATCGGCCAGCCAACAGTTTACGACGCTGCGGACTACGCCGCTCAGCCCTTGCTGGATCGCCTCCCAGGAACAGGCGCCTTTGCTGAATCTGTGACACGATATGGCTCTGTACGAAATCCCACGGCTGAAGATGCCATTGGCAATTCCGGCGGGCGAATCGATACCGAACCCCGGCTTGCAGGACCCTCAGTTTCTGAGACATCGACAAAATTTTACAAATCTGCTTCTGCCAGCATTAGCAGTAGCAATAGCGCCAGCGTGCAGCAGCGAAAAAGACATGCCGGCAATGGCCACCACAGGCACTTGCAAACTGGAGCCAGGTCCTTGGTTGCCAGAACGGCCCAATGGCAGCAGCTTCATCCCCGCCGCCGTCTCGGCACGAACGACTATTCTTACTGCCTAACTGCGTCAGCCGGGGCGGAGTGCTACCCCTGCCAGTCGGGATATGATGATCCCTGCCTGGTACGCTGACGGGTCTGTGAAGTGCCGTACATCACCGTATCAGAATATGGGTGAATTATTATCCAGAGGAAAAAGGGAAGAGAACCGCGTCACACGCATGTCGTACATTTCGCGCAATGAGACACCTAAGAGAGTCTGGAAAATGACTCGCGCTTCTGCACGAGTGCTTGTTTGGTCGTGTTTATTTTGTGTTTGTGTTTGTGTGTGTATACAGAGTCGTGGGGTTGCGTACCCCGTACCTGCAAACCGCCCAATACGAGCCGAGGGCTCAAGGTCTGCCAGATCGCCTATAAGCACCATCCTACCTCGCACTTCAGACAAAGCAAGTGATAAAGGAGATTATTTGAATTTTTGATTTTGACCAAAGAAAGCCTTTCCTCGATAAGCTCGCCAGTCCAACTAACTAACGGATTAACCAAATTGACGTACGGAAACTGCCGCAATGTTTTGTGCAATGTGGTCACCCCCACATGTATGACCTACTCACGTCCTCTTATCCGACACCAAGCCGGGTTTTGCTGCTTCCTTCCCCCCTCAACCCCTCAACCCCTCAACCCCCTCAACCCCTCCCTATGCAGACCGACGACGCCTTTTATCAAGACGATACGAAATGCTCCATGCCGTAAGTACTTAACCGTATTGGCGGTTCGTGATTTTATGATGATGAAAATTGTACGACTGGCATGGCTTCGCCAGCAAGAGCTGTCCTGTCAACTGGCCGCGTACGCTATGTTAAAGTGTTCGGGGAATTGGGTTTGGGTAGAAGCATGCCAGCGTGTGATTTGTATGCATGTATGTATTTATGTATGTCGTGACCCCATCCTCGCTCGCTGACCCACACACACTCCCCCATCACCCGCGCAACGCAACTCAAGATACTACTTCTTCGGCAACGTGGACGACGAGAGCATTTGTGGAGACGAGGTGGGTGGGCGACTCTCTGCGTGGCGGTGTACCTCATACGAGTTTGTTGCCGTACATCTATTATTAAAAGAGGGAACCCGGATAAAATTTTTTTGCATGGCATGCGATTTAATTGCTTTTTCGTTCATTATGTAATTCACTTTTGGTGTAATATCGTACAGCATCGTACCATTTTTTAAAATGCTATGTTACATATTGTTCCTGCCGATAGGTACGGCCTCTCAACATCGGTCAGATGCAGCTGGAGACGACCATCAGCTACGGGGGAGGAAGCAGCGTAGTTTACGGCATTGGGCAAATGCTTGTGTTCATGCAGGTGAGTAAGGGGTGTCCTGGGGCGGGGTGAAACCCCCCAGTAGGGGGGTTCGGGGGAGGGGGGGAAAGGGGGAAACGACGTGTGACATGAAAGCGCCAACGGCGGGCTGTGATTTCGTGGGTTATTTCGTGGGTTATTGCAAAGTTGGCCAAAATATTTCAATTTAATAAATTGAATTATTTGAAATTATTTATGAAATGACACCATCACCAGGGATCCGAGGGCCTGAAAGCGTGATGTGGGTTTTACATCTTGGAGAGTGTTGGTTGGCGGTTGGCGGTAACGGTGGTGGTTTGGATTCTAGATCCTTAGACTGGAGGAGAGGGCGAGTGAATGGAATTTGAGGGTTCGGCGATGTATTGAATGAGCTGTGTGCCCTGTTTGAGCTACGGAACCCAAATTGGCCCCCCCAAACCCTCAACCGATTCCTAACAAACACCAAATCCCAACGATCTTGACCCCACCAGATCAACGGCTTGCTAACCTTGACGGTTATGCTCAACTGCCCGTGGTTGGCGGTTGTTAACCCCGAACGGCGAGGTGCGGCAATGCAACTAACTCTGACGTCACCCAACGGCACGCGGTGGACACGATGGATCAACAGTACGGCAACAGGTACGTGGCGCCTGTATTGTACGACGGGTCGGTAATTGTGCGGTCATGCAGCGGTGGTGGAGCGGCAGTGTTGGGGAGGAAGTTATTTTTTTGACGTTGTTGATGTTTCTGTTGACGATGTGTTAATGTTTATGATGTTTATGTTGACGATGTTGATGTTGGTGGGAATGGGAATGGGAATGGGGGCATTCTGCGGGTGATTAAACCGCGGGGTGCGAGGGCCTTGGGGAGTGGGGGGAAGGGGTATTGTGAGCCCGAGCCGTGTGCTCGCACTCTCCCCTGCCCCTCTTCAGCTCCGAACCCTCCGGAAAAGCAGTACAAACACAGACATACGTACATATACACCAACCGACGCATTATTTCCCACCCTTTTCCGCCAGCGACTGCATTGAGTTCTCATGCGTTTTAGGTTGCTGTGTTGGGAGCTCTAGAGGCCAACAGGCGCCCCACGACTGTGAGCATGCTGCACGTACCTGCAGGCTTTGTGACTGCATAGCGGTGGAAGATGAATTACATGTGTTTCGGGAAAATGCCCTGCTTATGGTGGCTTGAGGGCTGAATATGGGAGCGAACTCGGGTTTCAAGGGCGTTTCAGCGTGCACACCATCATTACTGAGGCTCCCCAGCAGGCATCCTCTCCCCTCCCTAGCTTTCTCTGATAATGGTCTGGGAGACTTAGGCACGCAGGAGCTCTCCGGCGATTCGTGCTCAAACAGGGCCGAGAGGTTGACGACAGTCGCCCCACCGACACCGTAACATTAATTTAACTTTAATGAAATCGGTCCCCTCCCAAGGGGGGGGGACCCTCCACGGTTTTGATGGAGCCCCCTCTCCGCACTCGTGCGGACACTGTAAATATGTAACTCTTTTCCGCTGCTTTTGTCGTACACGCGGTACCCCGCAGGTTCTTCCTTCGTCAGCTGCGCGACCTTTTCCGTACAGGTCAAAGAGTTGGATCCAAATATTCCAGGGGATAATGCTTGCGATCCGCTGTCGTACACTGCAACGGTGGCCTTCCTCACCGAGACCTATCAGGTGGCTGGGGGGAGGGGGGGGAAAAGGGGGGTAAGAGGAACGTGTGGTGTGTTTTATATGAGTGGAGAGGGCTTTGACAGGGTGAAGGCCAACGTGACGGTAGATCATACATACATACATACGGCTCGCTCTAGCGGGACCTGAGAGCCCTTCGTGGTGTCTTCACTGCAGCGCCATCCCCGGATGGAGTGGCTGCGGAGTGGCTGCGTAGAGTGTTGGCAGTCTGAGTCGGGGTCGGGAGCACACAAGACTAACCGACTTGTGCTGTGTGCTCCCGACCCTTGCGCTGTGTTTCGGCTTCGGCCCCCGGCTCTCGCGGCCCACAGTGTAATCTAAGTCATACATATATGCATGCATACATACATACATACATACATACATACATACATACATACATACATACATACATACATACATACATACATACATACATACTAAATTGATGCGCCGTTGATCCGCTAGATTTGGTTGGATGCTGGTGGTGAGTTGCCGAAGCCAACGAATACATTTTGAAGTCGGATGGGGTGACGGATTAGGGTGCCCCTCTAGCAGGGGAGAGCAGGGACTGCCCGGGAAAGGGGCCGCTGGCGAAGTTAACCACCCTGTAACAACATACATACATGCACAGCGTGCAGGCGCAACATATGGATCGGTGCGCAACATTTCCCTGCATGTCGTACACCGTATGTCGTACACGCAGGCGGACCCTTCGGACGACAACAAACCCGCTACTTGCAGTATCAACGATCCGGCTACTGCCAGCACGGGGGTAAGAGAGGGGGACAGAGGGAAGGGGTTTGGGGAAACACGTGCCTAAGGTAAAGGAATAAAACGACTGCCGCCGGGTTGGGCGGGATGGGAGGGGAGTGGAGAAGGGTCTCCTGCGCGTGCCAATCAGGGTTCGTGTCATGTCGGGGTTCGTGTCACCAGGTTGCGAGGGCGTGTGTCGGCGGCTGACCGGCTGGTTGTGTGTGGGAGGGAGGGGAGAAGGCAAAATGCCCTGTACTCCTGTATTCCTTCCGCCGCCGCCAGTCAAATGGGCGTTCCGCCGCCGTCAGGCGTATTAGCTTTTTGATCGCCGGCTCCGCCACTGACGCTGTCACCGCCGCGCCGCCGCTGCGCAGGTGTTCTACAGCCTGACGTACTCGCCTATTCAGTTCCGGCCGCCGTCGCCGCCGCCATTCCATCCGCCGGAGCCGCCGCCGCCGCCGAGATCGCCGCAGCCGTACATTCCTGATGTGCCCCGCGAACCGCCGGAGCCACCGCCGGGGCCGCCTGAAGCGCCGCCGCCGAGTCCCGCTCCGCCGTCGCCACTACCACCGCTGCCACCCTCGCCCTCGCCGTCACCCTTTCCGCCATTCCCACCGGATCTCCCCAGCCAGCCGCCGCCGAGTGAGCCACCGCCGCCGGTACCGCCGGCACCGCCGGCGCCACCGCCGCCACCCTCTCCACCGCTGCCTCCGCCAGAGCCGCCGTCGCCGCCCCCTTTACTGCCACCGCCGCCGTCGCCGCCGCCTCCCGGCCCCCCTCCACCGCCACCGATGCCACGGCCGCCGTCACCGCCGTCACCACCGCCACCCCGGCCGCCGTCACCGCGGCCGCCGCCGCCACCATCACCGCCGCCGCCGTCGCCGTCGCCGCCACCGACGCCCTCGCCGCCGCCGATACCACCATCACCGCCGCCGGCGCCCAAGCCTCCACCGCCGCCACCGGCGCCGCCCCCCAGCCCCGAGCCGCCATCACCGTCGCCGCCGAGGGTGCCACTGCCGCCATCCCCGCTACCGCCATCCCCGCTGCCGCCATCCCCGCTACCGCCATCCCCGCTGCCGCCATCGCCACCGCCGCCATCACCTCCGCTGCCACCGCCACCGGCGTACCCACCCTTGCTTCCCTCCCCGCCGCCACCCTCCCCGCTGCCGCCAAACCCACCGCCGTCCCCGCCGCCGCCGCTGCCCCCGTCGCCGCCGTCACCGCCACCACCCTAGTAAGTACGCCTCCCCCCTCCTAGTGTCGTGCCCTAGTATCGTACGGCTTTCCTTATTATTCCCTTTTTTAATGATTACCATGTCAGGCGGCCTAACGATTCATTAAAAAACTTTATGACTTCATTTGAGTTCGAAATTGTAGACGTCTCCAATCAAAGGTTGCCGAATGTGATCTGGAAAGTTCTCATCAGATTTCATCCATTCGGCCGTCATCTAAACGACTCCTGCCGGTCAGGGTATGGCAAGGAGCATATTATGTCATGGTGAAGTAAGTTACGTGGATTTGCTTACATATGCAATATATTCTCGCCTGCAACTATGCCGTCGTCTTTCCTGGCTGTAGTGGCTGTGCGTAACAAATCCAATCGTTTGTTTGAAACATTGTTGCTGCCGTCACTGTGCTCGATCCGCCGCGCGCAGTCCACCGCCGCCGTCGCCGCCGCAGCCGCCATCACCGAAGCCGCCGTCGCCAACTCCGCCCTCACCGCCGCCGCCACCGCCGTCACCGCCGCTGCCGCCGTCGCCCGACCCGCCGTCGCCATCGCCCCCGTCGCCGCCGCTGCCGCCGTCACCAGACCCGCCCTCACCTGAGCCGCCGTCGCCGCCGCCGTCACCGCCAAGTCCTCCGCCACCCAGTCCGCCAAGCCCTCGACCTCCGAGACCGCCCCCCCCCCCGTCGCCGCGCCCGCCATCGCCGCGGCCGCCAAAGCCTTCGCCACCGCCGTCGCCACCAAGCCCGCGGCCGCCGTGGCCGCCAAGTCCTGACCCGCCGTCGCCAGCACCTCCCAGACCGCCGCCAAGTCCAAAGCCGCCGCGGCCGCCGCCGCCAAGTCCCCCGTTGCCGCCATCGCCGCCCTCACCACCGCCGCCGCCGTCGCCGCCGCTGCCGCCACGGAAACCGCGTCGACCCAACCTGCCGCCGCGGCCGCCGCCGCCACCGCGCACCCGGTACGGTGTACAGTGAGAAAAAAAGAGATAAATTAATGGCGACCAACGTGTCGATGTCTGGGGCTTTTCTTTCTACCCCAGTTTACATGCGTTTACATGCATGCATAGGGTATTGGGTTTACATACATACATACATACATACATACATACATACATACATACATACATACATACATACATACATACATACATACATAAGCGATCCGCTGAGAAGTTGACTAGGGTGACTAGATGAGGGTGCCCCGAAATACCGGGGAAGGCAGGGTCTGCCGGGTAGCTGCCACGGGTGAGGATATACCCCCCTGTTCCACACATCATGCATACATACAAGATGTGGATTATCTACGGGCGCCATGACGGCTGTCGTCACTGCATGCCATCCTGAGGTTTTGTTGTTAGGGCATCCAAAGTCAGTGTAGCAGTTTGTGGCGGTGCGCATGCAGAGGTGGAAAGAGGAGGAGCTGGAGAGGGTTCTTAGTCGTACCGTACGTCTAGCCACACACCGCCGCCGACACCGCTATGCCACAGCACCGTTATACCCTTAACAATTCGCAAATATGCATACATACATATGCCATCGTGCGCCCCTCCGCCGCCTTCTCACTCGTTGGTCGTTGGAGTCACTCGTTGAGCTGCCAATTCTAAGATCCAATCCGTACACCGTTGCCGTATACGTCGCCCTTCAACACGGCAGGTTCCCGGATCCACCCTCGCCGCCGCCGGGGCCGCCGGCACCGCCCAGCCCGCCGCCGGCACCGCCGTCGCCGCCGCCACGTGCACCGTACATGCCACGTAAGCAGTACTGCTGTGACGTCAGCTTATACTTATACCTCTGTATTAACTACAGCTGCTATTACTGCTACAGCTGCTAGTGCCATGTAGTTTGGGACCCTGAGGCGTATCGGTGTGGAGTTGGTGTGTGTGTGTGCGTCTGTGCGTCTATGTGTTTATTGAAGGGGTGGCGGCTATATGCTTGCCAGGCCAGGAACCGATGGCGTGGTGGTGGTGTTGTTTGCGTATCTGAACTGCTTAGCTTAGGGCTCAATTACGTGGGTCTTAACCGTCTCAACCTCCAACTACAAACCGCAGGACGGCCATGGCCTCCGCCAAGGCCGCCAAGGCCGCCGCCAAAGCCCCCGAGCCCCCCAGGCCAAGTCCCTTCTGCACCGCCACCGCCGCCGCCACCGCCGCCACCGCCGCCCGACAACCCGCCGTCGCCGCCGCCGAGACCGCCGGCCCCACCTCCGTCGCCGCCACAACCACCGTCACCGCCGTCGCCACCACCGTCGCCGCCAAGCCCTCCAGCACCACCGACGACGCCGCCAGCGCCCCCGCCGCCGCCGCCAGCACCCCCGATGCCGCCAGCGCCGCCGCCGCAGCCGCGGCCGTCGCCACCGCCGCCGCCACAACCTGGATGCCTTCGAGTATCGTCACGTAGCGGCAGTAAGATGTACAGCGATGGTGGGCTGATCGAGTACGGCAATCTCACACTAACGAAGTACGATTCCCGTGCAATACGTCTGGACATCTCCATCTCCACTTACTTTGCACCTGGCAGTAGCGCTATCGCGCTGGACATCCTGCTACAGCCGGTTGGTACGGCAGCGCCGACAGGATGTCCCGCGCCCTCCGATTTGGGACTGCCCGGTGGTGGCGGCTTCCGTACGAGTGCTGACTGTACAAACCGTACGGCACAGATATTGGTGGACGTGTCGGCGCTGATGCCGTGTTATGTCGGTAACGGCGCATCGTCAGGTGGGTGAGGTCGGCCGTTGACGCGGGCTCTGTCCGCCCGCATGTTTGTATGTATGTATATGTGGCTTAGTGCTAGCTAAGGAGAAATTTCTCCTAAGGAGGAGCAGGAAACCCTAGGCACCTAGGGGTCGTGTTGATGGGGTGGACTTGCGGGAGGATTATAGTATTCATTTTCATGATGGTGTCGTGATAGTGGGATTTTGTGCACGGCGAGCTGGTTCCCTGTGTTACAGTGTCTACCTGCCTGACCGGTTTTTAGTTTACCGTTTTTTCGTTTCCCGTTGTCCTTCGCAGAGAGCTTCATCATGTGGTTGGCGGTTGACAGTACCCCTGCGGTAAGGGAGGTGCTGCACGTGAGCTGTGTCGTATCGTACAAAACACCACCGGGACACCTCCAACCACCTCCATCACCACCACCACCACCATCACTACTACCACCACCATCACCACCACCACCATCACCACCACCACCACCATCACTACTACCACCACCATCACCACCATCACCACCACCACCACCATCACCACTACCACCACCATCACCATCACCACTACCACCACCATCACCTCCAATAACATTAATGACATGATAGACAACAACGCCCTCCTGGCTGTCGCTGACCTGCTTTGCCGTTTTGGTGTCGGGTTTTGCTGTCGTACATTCCCCCCCTTCTGAAACTAACCGCGAACAACCTCAACCGAACGCTGTACACAGGCATGCTCCAGCAGCAGCAATACAACCACCACATTGTGGGGGGGTACCTCCGTCAGCCGCCTTCCAAACGCGGGCTGTTCGTACATTCCGTTCACCTTGACCTGCGACGTCTCCTGCTTCCTGCCGCCGCCGCCGTCACCGCCGCCAACTCCGCCGTCACCGCCGTCGCCGCCGAGCCCGCCGCCCAGTCCGCCGCCCAGCCCGCCGCCACCTCCGCCTTCTCCGCCCAGCCCCAGTCCCCCTTCCCCGCCGCCACCTAGCCCCAACACCCCTCCCCCGCCGCC